GGCCTTTGGTACATGTAGTTCTCACATCTGTGTCATTCTGGCCTTCTATATACCTGGTCTCTTCTCCTACCTCACACATCGCTTTGGCCACCACACCGTCCCAAAGCCTGTACACATTCTTCTCTCCAACATCTACTTGCTGCTGCCACCTGCACTCAACCCTCTCATCTATGGGATCCGTACCAAGCAGATCAGGGACAGACTCCTGGAAACACTCACATTTAGAAAAAGCCAGTTCTAATGGACAGAACTAGGGATTGAGGTGCAGGTGGAAGAAGCCTTACTCAGGGAGTCTGGGGTCTTGGGGTATGGATTATGTCATCTTTGTCCCACTGTCTGTATATGACTGTGATAATACTCAATAGATATTTTCTCTGAAGCCCCTACTATGTGCACCACTAGCACAGGTAGACTTTGGCCTAACCATGTGGCCTCCTTGGAAGAAAGCAGTGGTCATCGCTAGAAGCACATAATGTTAGCACAATGTGATAAAATTGGAATATTTCACATGGCTGCAGCTACAACAGTGTAGAGATATTACCACACTGTACTGGTCAGGGGTTACCCAGTAACCTGGATAGTTTCTGCATAAAATTGCCAGTCAACAATGTGTTAAGATATTAGAGAACCTACATGATTCTATACTATAAGCAGCTGAGAGATGAGGCGGGGAGAAAGAATAAAATAGGCTGAATTTGGGATAACAGGGAATTGAGACTGGGCAAAATGAATCAGAGAACAGCTGCTACTTTAACATATTGTTGATTGACAATTTTATTCAGAAACTATCCGCGTTACCGGATAATTCATGACCAGTCAGCAATGTATTAACAGGAAGTATCATGGTGTTACCCAAAGGAGATTCATTTTCAGCTAAGATACCACAATGGAAGGGACACTGCATAACAAAATGTCTTTCACACCAGAATGGAGTTCAGTATATGAGTGTAATTTCAGAAGGAAAGGAATAACTGTTAGGAGGTCAAAGAAAGCTACAGGCTGCATAGGCAAACCCAGGCTGTCCAGGAAAACTATCATAAGCACAGGTATTGGAGTTAGCCATAAAGACTTGAAGCCAGGAGCAACACAGCCCACTCAGCACAGATAGCTGGACCAGGCACCATGGGACATCACACAGAAAAGGATTCTATACTGCAAATGAGAAAAAGCAAATGATGCCATCTCCATTGCCACATGGTGAGTACTACCACCAGGTCCTCATTAATAAAGAAATGAGGCTGTGTGTGGTGGCTCATGTCTGTAATCCTAACACTCTGGGAGGCTAAGGGGGGTGGATTGCCTAAACTCACGGGTTCCAGACCAGCCTAAGCAAGAGCAAGATCCTGTCTCTAAAAAATAGCTGGATGTTGTGAAGGGCGTCTATAGTTCCGGCTACTTGGGAGACTGAGACAAGAGAATCACTTGAGCGCAAGAATTTGAGATTGCTTGAGCTATGACGCTACAGCACCTACCGAGGGTGACAAAGTGAGACTCTGTCTCAAAAAACAAAAACAAAACAAAACAAACAAGGAAATGAAGAGTTAGCCCAGAAGCTCTGATTTTTCAGAAGTGTCATCACACTGAACCCAAGTGGATTGATAGAAAACCTATACGCAAATGTGGGCTGTCATTCTCAAGACTAATTTTTTTTAATAAGGTTCTGAATTTAAATGCCTCCAAGCATGATTTTGTGGATAACTGTGACAATTGTGATAATCTTTATAATATTCATATCTTTCTCTTAGTAATTCCCCTTTAATAAATCTAAGAAAAATAATCAAAATGTGAACAAAGATGTATACAGTAAGATATTTATTACAACAGTATAAAGAAATATATGATAATCCCGTGGCACACATACATACATACATACACACCATTTTTTGCCTTTCCCCTCTGATACATGAAAAGGGAAATCATGTGCAGCCAATGATCATAACCAATGAATTCTCTCACCCTCCCACCACAGGAAGACTCTTCTAAGGCACCTTTAACCTCTGGTTGTGCACAATTCCCCAAGGTAGCTGGTTCCAATGCTGTACATTGTCCACTTTAAGAACTTTATTTCTTCACGCCAAAAATCCTCATTGTATTTTGTTCCATCCAAAATGAGACTGCATACATACTTACCATGTGATGTGTTTAGAAAGCTTTACCGCACTTTTTCATTCCTCATGACAACCTGAGAAGACTTAATCATATGCCCACAGTCCCTTATCTATAATTCCAAAATAGAAAGTCTCTGACAAAACAAACCTTTGGCCCAAAACCTAACTTTAACCACCATAATCCTATTTATAGAATTTACCTCACTTAGTATGAACATACATATATTTAATGGCAGAAACATTGGTGCACTTAACTATAGGGAAATGTTCTGAACCCCACTGGGTTATTCCTTGTTAAGTATGTACTATATTCTCTTTCTATAATCTGAAATATTTTGAATTCTAAAACATATGTCCCCAAAAGTTTTGAATAAGGTATTAGAGACTTGTATGATTATCCCCATAGCCTAACAAATGTGAAAAGACTTCTTGTTACAGGTGGTTATCAAGTCTTTGCTATCAACACTATTCTGTACTCCCCTAGAAGTTTCCATAGAGAACCTCATGTTCGCTAGATAAACAGCCCCATCTGTTTGTTCCTCTTATGTTCTCCACTTAGGTCACTCTCAGATATCCTGCTAATGATCTGTACCTCTTTCCCAGGGAGAACCCAGAACATGCCACACCAAAGGGAAACCCTATGAGCAGGATATGGCCCAGATAGCAGTTTTCATCTGTTTTCCTTCAGTACCTTTCAGTGTCAGACTCTCTGAGTCAAAAAAAAAAAAAAAGAATTAATGTCAGGGTACAGCTACATGAAATTTAGAGAGCCTAAAGAATCATGGTTATCAGATAGCAAGACAAAACAGAAAGTAAGGGCTTCTTTTTCTGAGGAGTTCATCACTATAGTTCCTCTCTTATGCCCTATTCATGAAGAAAAATCCTAATGAGATTCTCCTCATCCTACTGAGGATGTAAAGAGACCCTCCTCATGTTCCTCACCAACAGCCACCACCCTGTACCTCCCTCATTCACCTCAAGCTGGAGTCCCCTCAGGATCCGGATATACACCATTCTGTTTCTACTTATCAATCTCTTTCACTGTCTCTGTATCACTGCCCCTCTATCTCCTTGCACCATTCACCAGTGTACCCTATGTAAAACTCTTGTCCTTGCGTATGTCTCTCTTGCTCTACCTCATCTGTCTCATTCAGGATTCCTACCTGGAGAGCACAGAGGTGCCAACAATACTATAACCAGTGACCTCTCCTGTCAACCATAATAAAAAATGTGCTAACAGAGCATTAGGAGGAAAGAACTTGGTTGGTTTCACTTATCTTAACAAGAAACTTGGAGTTTCTGACTTAGTCCATTGTGGGTTCTCTTTCATTGTGCCCATTTCTCTCACTAAACTTTATACTTTCCACCTAGCATGCACCCCTACCACCACACACTAACTGAACAGAAGGCATGTTGGCCTCACCCTTCAACAGAGGAATACAGTTTAATGGTTAGAACTAGAGTTAAAGAGGCTTTTTCCTGAATCCCAGATCCTCTATAAATTCACTATATGCCATGGGTTAATTATTTAACATCTCTGAGCCTGTTTCTTCACTTGTAAAATGGGAAAATAGTACCTATTTCAAGATATTACTAAAAGGATTAACTAAGATAATAATTTCAAAGTATTTGGCACAGCTCCTAGCACAGAAGATTTCATCTTAATTCTTCTCTTGGAAAATAAGAAGACATCCATTGTCAAACTGGCACCCATACTCATAGCTCTGCCTCAGAAGACCTGCATACCCCTAAGACCAGTTACTTCTCCTTTAGGAAAATTTTCTTGATAACCTTCTTTCCCACCCTTCCCCATTCCCCTAAACATACCATCTCAGCCAGCTCAGAAGAAAGCCAACTTTGTGGGATAGATCGACACATTGGGCTGGGCTGGGGGAGGTACACACAAGAAATCTTTCAGGACATAAAGGAGACTGCAGAGGAACTCAAAGAGAGGACTCCTTAGACAGAATGGGAAAGTAAGTACTGGAAAAACCTCTTTACAGTGGTTCTTCAAAGAACCAGTCTTCTATAGCAAAACAGTAGGTGAACTCTCTGTAGACATGAGGATAAGAGCTGGAGTGGGAAAGTAGCTGATACGCACAAATCAGATAGGACAGGGAATGAAGCATAAAAAAAATGTCTTTTATCAGGGTAATTCTGGCTTCCTGAAAATCTCTCCAGTTACTAAGGCAACATCCCAATTAGATTCTTACTCTCCGCATTGTCACTGCTTAACATAACACCCTCCTACACATACACCTACTTTTCATTGCAATTAATTCATTAATTAATAATGGGAATCAGCCTTTGCTACACATTAAAATTGCCTGAGGAACTTTTAGAAATCATGATGCCCAGGCACAACACAGACCAATTATACCGGAATCTCTAGAAGTAGGATCCAGTCACTTTTAAAGCTCCCAGTTAATTCCAAAGTGAAGCCAAAGTTGAGAACCACTGGTTTTCAGTATAAGTTCTGGACTATAACATCATAGGTTGCTTAACAACAGGGGAAATGCTCTGAGAAATACATTATTAGGCAATATCATTGTTGTGCAAACATCACAGAGTATACTCACACAAACCTAGATGATAACAGCATATGACACAACTAAGCTATATGGTATAGACTAATGCTCCTAGGCTACAGCTCTGTAGAGTATGTTATTGTACTGAATACTGCAGGCAACTAATGGCAAATATTCACGTATCTAAACATAGAAAAGATGTTATAAAAACACAATACAATAATCTTATGGTATGGGACCACTATCATATATGGTTCATTGTTTACCAAAACATCATAGTGTGGCACATGACTATGTGGTCCCACATCCTTCAGGACCTCAATCCAACCCCACAAAGAAGTCATCTGCAGCTAATGAGATAGCAAATTACTTCTGGGAGGCTACTGAAAGCAGGAGAAACCTGATTCCGTCTCCTTAAAGAGCTCAGACCAAGAACCACACACAAACACACACTCATAGACACACAAATGCTCTCTATATTTTCCACCTCTAAAACAGAAGGATAGATAGGTGACTCAGAATATGAATTACAAGCTGTAGTAAGGCTAGAAAAGGTATTGTCCTTTCTCTACTAGGCACCATTACCTAGCAGGACCTCTATGACCTCATGCTGCAGTAGCTCAGAGCCCAAGGCCTGGGGGCTCACCTCCCTGGGCAGCTTGGGGTTTCTGCAGCAGCCACTGCCCTGCCCCATCCCTCCCACACCCCACCATGTTGGTTGGTACCCCCCACCTGTTAACACTGGATGAAGCCGATGCCACTTGGACCCTCATCAAGGATAAGGTAGGTAAAGTAAGGAGTCTAAAGAGAAAGTAACAAAGTGTGGCCTGGATGGGTCTGAGCAGCTTGTGAGTAGGAAGGGGTAGGAAGCCTGAAGACAATAATAACTAACATTTACTCGGCGCTAGCTTATGTGCCAGGCACTGCAGTAAAGTGATTAATATCAACTGTCCCATTTAATAACAATTGCAAAAAACAGTAAGAAAGGTTCCTTGAAATCCAAGTATGGGGAGCTATGAAAGCAGGGGAGAAACACCAAGACAGGGATAGGACTTAGGAGGTCAAGAAGGATTGCTGGAGAGTAACATTCTAGTCAAACAGAAGTTATTCACACAAATGAGAGGAGCAACCTGGAATAAAAGGTGTTTAATAAATACCTGAATGAGTTAATAACTAGGTGGGGGATAAGTGTACAGGATATTAATTTAAAATACAGTATACACAAAAGCCAAGAGAGAAAAAAAACTGTGTTTTCTTATAAACTGCAAATAGCCCTCAAGAGAAGAGTCGCAGAAGTAGGGGTGAAAATTAGTCCAAAGGGTTTGTATACAGGCTAATAATGAAAGTCTCTTTAGGCTTCTTATAGAACCTGAACTTTACATTCAACCTCCTTACCTACATTCCCTCTTCCTTAACTTCCACAGAAGGAAAAATTCTGGTTTTGAGTCAAATATGTAGATTTCAAGGAGAAGGAAGATCACATGTGTATGGGTTGCAGCTGTCCAACAAATCCTATCAAATCACTTGCTGCAGGCTAGATGTTAGCAAATTTCTAAGATTAGAAAATTTTGGGATAAAGGGCAGCACCTGTGACTCAGTGGGTAGGGTGCTGGCCCCATATACCGAGGTTGGTGGGTTGGAACCCAGCTCCAGCCAAACTGCAACAAAAAAGTAGCTGGGCATGCTGGCAGGCGCCTGTAGTCCCAGCTACTAGGGAGGCTCAGGCAAGAGCCTCCTCAGGCTCCTAAGCCCAGGAGTTGGAGGTTGCTGTGAGCTATGATGCCACAGCACTCTACTGAGGGCAATAAAGTGAAACTCTGTCTCTAAAAAAAAAAAAAGAAAGAAAGAAAAAGAAAATTTAGGGATAAGTTTCTGGCTAAGAGATATGAAGGAAAGTGAATTTGTAAAGCACTCACAGAAAGCACCCTACCAAGCTGTAAAAAAAACACCTTAAAGCAATGCCTACCACATGCAAAGCAGCCTTTACAGCACATAGCTCCCAATTCCAAATGGGGTAGCTTCTCATGACAAAAGTCAACTTTCCAGGGAAGCAAAATCAGGAGAGCTGAATGTCTCCCCAAGTATTAGAGTTTCAGCAGTGTAGAAGGTTGGTTCTGGACTAGATCAATCAGAATTAGCATGAAAGTAAATGAAGTTTTTCCATTATGAGAAAGCTGTACATGTGAGGAGCAGAAAAACTCATTAACCTATTTAAATGGAAAATTGCCAAGAAAAATCAGAGTAGAGATGTGCAGGATAAATCACTGGTAGAACAGGGCAAATTCAATAGGACACCTTTAAGTGACCTGGTTTCCTGTCTCCAGAACCACTGATATTGTTTAAAACACTTGGCTCAACAGGATGTGGCTCAAGAGCTCCCCATTCATAAGTCAATGTAACTAAGGTAAATCCAAGAAGATAATTTTCCACCATCACTTTCCTGGGTTGCCCCTGGGAAACTTAAATCTGCTGGCTTCTAAGGTCCATATAACTTCTACCCAAAAAAAGCAGAAATTTAATAGTAGTAGATAATAGTCTCAAATGGTGACTTTACCAAGAACACAGTCACCCTAACCAAGCAACTGAGTGCCTTATTTTTTCTATTTTAGGATAATTACTGGAACCCTCAAGAACAAGAAAGAAAGTTAGGGTTAGAATTAGGGTTAGGCAAATTAATGCCTATATGCTGGGGAAAGCCTCCAATTAAACCAGAAACTTGGATAAAAAGCAGGTATTTTAAATGTTACAATCCTGTTAAAGCAGTGGTTCTCAACCTTCCTAATGCCATGGCCCTTTAATACAGTTCCTGTGGGTCTCAACCCATAGGTTGAGAACCCCTGTGTTAGAAGGACCTCTCCTGAAGACACTCTCATTTGTCTTATTTGTATAAGTTCCTAGATACCAAAGGAGCAGGTAGGGTGAAATTCTGAAATTATGCTTAGTGACTATGCTTTCATGGTCATGAGACAAAGCATTCCATCCAAAAATGCCAACCCAGCAGTGCTCTGTTCTCATCCCTGGAAACCCACTAGCCCTTCTCAGAACCTTCTTCTTCAGCCTGATGTCCCCACCCAAAAGAAAATGTTCCTTGTCTTAGTAAAGCAAAGGAAAAGAAATGAGGAATTGTTTCATGCAAACCAAGAAAGAACACCAGTCATTTGCTTGCCTTGGTAATAAAAGTAGAAGCCTTCAAGCTGCCTCAGTTTATACAAAGTACAGATGAAACTCTAGGCCAGGCGTGATGGCACACACCTGAAATCCCAGCTGCTCAGGATGCTAAAACAGGAGAATCACTTGGGCGCAGGAGTTTGAGGTTGCAGTGAGTGATAATGGTGCCACTGCACTCTACCCACAGCAACAGAGCTCTGTCTCTAAAACATACACACACACACACCAAAAAAAAAACCCTAAAAACTCCAGAGTTAGCTACCCTCCTCTTATGCTAAGGAGCTAGGGGGCAGCACTTCCAAAACAGCTTTATGTAGCAAAAGGCAGATTAGCATTAAAGGGCCATTGATGAATTCTACCAGAAAGCCAACAAAGTGGGCAAGGCCATCAGTAGGGGCACAGACTCATGGGATTTAGGGCTAGAAGTAGAGAGTATAGTATAGTTCTTTAAGCAGAGGGCTTAAATATGAAAGAGGCCAAAAGAGGAACCTCTGTGTGAGACCCATAAGTCTCAGCCAATAAAATCTTCAATGGGTGAAGATCCTTAATACCTAAGTACAATTTCTAGAGAAGATCTTACAGGGTTTCAAAGTCAGTCATGAAATAAACTTTCTAGAATTGCAAAGCCCAAAAAGGCCAAGATAAAAAGGATAAAACCAAAGGGAGCTAAAATTTCTAAAAGCACATTGTAATATTACAGAAATGATGCCTCAAATTTCCTAAAAGAACTACCCTCTGCAGCTAGGGCAGAAGGTATACTGAAAAGTGATACACAGTTTAAGAATGGACATTTCAAACCTACTTCTCTGTACCTTACCTCGTACATTACTATGTAACTGGTCACCTAGGAATGATCCTGAGGATTTCTTTTCCCGTACCTCTTAAAGTGACCAAGTTCTACTAATTCTGTAACTTAAATCTCTGTAATATCTTCCCCCATTATTTTAGCTCAGGGCTTCATTATGTCTTCTCAGCCATACTCTTAACTGATCTGTCACTGATTTCTCTCTTGCAGGTTATCGAGGAGCGCTTTGGGTCCAACGTAGTGGCAGTACCTTTCCTGTCGGATGCAGCCTGCTATGACCTACTGGGTGTGCTAGTGAAACAGTCCCGCCCTGCCCACACCCGCCTCACTTTACCAGGTCGGCAGGGCCGGAGAGCACTGAAACCAGTGGGGCCGCTACCAAACCTCCTGGAGCAGACAGGGTCCGAGGATAACTTTGCCCACTGCACTCGGGAATACTCACCAAATGGCCGAGCAGAGATAGCCTATGAAGAGATGAGACTGTTGGATGGGCAGCCCTGCCGGATCCGCCTACATATGGGTGGCCTGCGCAAGAAGGTAGCCTTCCTGTTGCTGCCACCAGGGCAGGTGAGCCTACAGCAGACTCTTCCCTGGCTCCGAAGCACCCACAGCATCTATGTCATCTACCAGGTCTTCTCCTGCTCCTGGCTGCAGCTGGGTCTAATGCCAACAGCCCGTGAACCCCAGCTGCTCCGGCTACAGCGGTCACTGCCTATTGCCTTCTCCTGCCTCAAGTTTTCACTGCAGCCCAAGGGTGTACTGGGACCACAGAAGCCTCTGACCAAAGACCCAGTGCTCCATGGAGCCAACTGGGTCAGACCAAACCTCAGCATCACACCTCTGGCCCCTACATCAGCACCTGCTGATATCCCTGAAGCTGCTGATGTGCCCCAACCTGTCCCTGCCCCACCTACACCACCTCCCCAGGAAGGGCCAGAGGGAAGACCTACCAGATTCTCCTACAAGGGCCGAAATCCCTTCCGGAGGGGACCCCAGATGCTGTCAGGTACTGCTAGGGAAAATGAAGATGAGAGGAATGGGAGGCACAAAGAGGAGGGAGAGGGCATGAGCATTATAGCCTAGGAATAAGTGGGGAATCCATGACTCAGCACAGGACCTTAGTGAGGGAAATGGAATGAGGGAGCTAGGGGAGGATGAGATGAAATGAAGAAGCCCTGGTGAGGGGGTGGGGATGGCAAAGGACCAGAGGGTGGGACTAGGGAGGCAGAAAGACCAAGGCATGAGTCAAGCTGTGACTATCCCCAACCCTGGCAGAAAACTGGCTCTTCAGCCCCCGCAGCCCCCCACCAGGAGCCCAGGGTGGGGGCCCCGGGGACCCCGACCGGCACTCCATGTCCCTGCCCCTGCTGCAGGGTCTGTCCTCGGAGTTCGACAGCGACGAGTGAAGCTGAAGCAAGAGATGCAGGGGGCGAGGCCCCCAACATCTGGCATAGGGATACTGGTCCCCAATAAACATCAGCTGCTGCTCCCCCAAACCATCCTGAACCCATGCTGCTTATTCCTTCTGGGGTCCAAGAAGGAAGAGAATCCCCACTATCTTCTCTAGACTTCAAGTCCCCTCACCCTGGGTACTTTGAAACCCTGACATTAATGTCCTCACAAAAGAGAAAATACCCCTGACCACCTCCCCATCTATGTACAACCTTTCTGGGGGCCCCAGCCCCATAGAAAAAGGGTGGGAAAGAAAAATGAGCACAGAATAGAGATTTCCCTTTTATACATATTGCAACAAGTTCTCCATAAAACATTCATCTGAAATAAATTAAAAGTCCTTTTGCCACTGCCTCCAAACATAAAAAGGAGCCTGTGCCATAGTCCCAGCCCAGGCCACCCATGTCCCTGATTGTCCATGGAAGAAAGTTAAGGATTGAGGGACCCAAAGCCTGAGATGGGAGGCCCAGTTCCCTCCTCAGTATCCAACAAGAAAGGCGAAGTGACAGCATGGGCCTGGGAGATAGCCGCCAATTCCTTGAGAAACTCAGGGAAAATGACTGCACAGTAGACAGCATTCTTGACTCGAAGAGCCTCACCTTGGCGCTCAGGGCCCCCGCCCCGTGGGAGTAGAACTGGAGTTGAAGCCCCAGGGGAGCCCCCACCTAGGCCAAGTCCTGCTCCGTCTCGCCCAGGCTGAAGGACCAATTGTGCCGCCTGCCGGGCCCTGGTTGGACTGTGTGCATGTCGCAGGAGTAACTCCCCCAAGGATGGCCTCCGGCTCTTCACTGGGAATAAACAGGGGTATCATGAAGGTACTGGGATCAAGGAACCTCCCTTGGTCTGAGAAAGGAACCACCCCCTAGGTTCTTGGACTTCTTCACTAGGATTCTAAGGAAATGAAAAAAATGGCCAGAAATAAACCTCAGGTACTATTTCCTGCCCCACCCTAAACATGACTCTGAGGAATAGGGTAGCGAAGGATTCCTTTTCACTCTAACACCATAACACCGACTGCTCAGGTTTCTTCCCTCTATCCAGCCAACTATCACCCTCAGTCTTAAGCAGTCAACACTTTAGCCGCTTCATTCCCAGCCAAGATTCTTCCTTCTCCATGTCCCCTCACCCTGATAAATTCTCCCATTTCCCATACTATTCTAACACCACCAAGATATTCTCCTCATCCATAACGTCCTTACTTCATGCTTCCCATCATCTTCTTGAACTAGAATCAACCACTTCCATCTTCCCCTATCTGTAACACCTGACCCACATCCTCTGCTTCTTCAGTACCCACAGGGACTACATATGGCATAGTTCATGGCCATTTCACTTCTGTCACAATCACTGTCCCTCAAGATCTGCTCTCCTATACTATCATTTAGCAGTTCCTGTCCTATAACCACCAAAGCCTCCCTCCCACTGGTTGTGACCAGACAACTTCATGTCAGTTTATATTCAAATGAGCCATTTAAAACAGTTTTCTCTCCTCTAATTTTCTGCATAAATTCCTGGGTCTGGATATACATCCACTCTCTAGACTCTATCTTCTAAATCATTATGGTTCCCATTCCCTACCTTGAATATTGGCTACAGAAATGCTATACAGATCTATTAACCTTGACATTCAAAGCTCCACCTAACACTCCAACCTCTTCTCAAACTCTCCACACCTCAACTACCTTATACATTCACACCTCCCTTCTTGAAACCCTCCAGATACTTTTCATGCTTTCATAGTTCCCTCTGCCTAAATTTTGCTCTCTCTAGTTTTTTAATCCTCCCTGGCTTAATATTACTATCTTTACTTCTCTGGAAAACTTCATCAGATTTGACTTCTACTGACTTCCTATTTTCCTTCCCTCATCTCAATATACTTTAATAATTTTTTTTTTATGTCTTCTATCTCATGCACTAATCCAAGTAAGGGCTTGGACTGTTTCTTATCTACCCTTATATTCCCTAGGTTCTTGGACTTCTTTAGTAGTGTTCTGAGGGAATGAAAAAAACTACAAAATGGCCAGAAATAAACCACAGGTACTTCCTCCACAGTCTCTTCAGTGCCAAAACTGTAGAAGCAAAAAATATTCCTAGCACTAGATCATGAGGAAATCAAGTTAGGACCCTCAAGCTGGGTCTTCACAGCTGTGCAATAATCCCTGTGGCACTCTCTACCCAGCCCATATACTTTTCTCTTCAAGTTCCACTTCACCTCTGCTCTCATCTGTACTTTCAGCACATCATTTTGCCACCTTCTTTGATGAGCAAATAAAGGATGTTATGAAATTCTAAGTTTCCCCTCCACACTTCACAACTCCATCGGCACATGTCATTTCCTTCTTGCTTTCTCTCTCAAATGCCTCAAAGGTAGAAAAACCAAAAAGTCTTGTCCTGTCCCAAGTTAATTCTTTTCTGGTGCTCTAGATCTCATTATTCCAACACCTCTGGGACCTTGCTCTCTGTTATTATATTCCTCTAGTCATTCTCTGCATTGTAAATTCTTTTAAAGCAGAAATCCTATCTTGTGCCACCCTGAAAACCCTCTACCAAAGACAATGTCCAGCACATATGGCAAGTGCTCCGATACTTGTTAAATGAAAAATCTAGATTTAAAACTTACCAGCCATGTTTAATTCTTCCTTCTTCCTTATACTCCCAACCACTCACCAAACTCTGCCAACACTCTTATTTCCACCTCATCAAATGCTTTCTTTCTATTTCCACTATTCTAATTCAAGCCTTCCTAGTAACATTCACATTATGGCAAAAGCCTCCTGACTGCCCCTTCTGACACCTTTTTCCCTAGCTCCAACTCACCTGAGCTAAAATACTCACTGAAAGACTGAAGAACCTCCAGTGGTTTCTCAAGACCTAAAACATCACAACTTCTACCCAGTCTATCTTCTACTCAGAACCTTCTGCTCTAGCCAAATCTCTCCAGCTTTACCACCAACTATTCCACTGCCCTTTAAATTCCTTTCTCCAACTAAATAGTCCAGGATGTCTCTAGACAAAAGAATAAAGACCTCCTATTCCTTTGCCTACCTAAGTCCTACCCATCTCTCAAGGCCCATGTCAAATGCCACGTCCTTTACCAAGCTGTAACAATATCTCAGCCTAGAGACTTTGCCTGCCCCCTTGCCTATCCAGAAATCCTACAGCATTATTTTTGCTGACACTGCTGATTTGGCTCTTAATAGATAGAACTTTCTTCTATCCTCTAACTGAAGCCTAAATACAAATAATTAGAATCAATTTTCTATAACTCTCCAGTTCCTGGCACAAAGTTTCACCTTTAATAGGAGCTCAGGAAACCTGGGCTAATAATCTCTCTAGAAGGGTAGGGAGAGGGTTTGTGGAATGAGCCTCACCTAGGGGATCGGCGCGGCGAGGGGCAGGTCCTGCTGCAGTGCCCTCTGCCCAGTCCAACTTGCCACGGGCAATGAGGTACTTCTTGGCTTTGGATAGCAGTGCTGGGAAGTCCTCCTGGGAGGCTGCAAAGCTCTCAATCTTATTCTTCACAGAGCCCAGAACCTATGAAGCACAACTCCATGACATTTCTGGGTGGCTCTAGTCTGATATGTCCTTTCTAGTCCCCCTGGGCCTGTTCCCAGCCCACCCAGGGTCACTCCAGCTGCCGGCCTGGCCCACCATGGAGCCTGGACGCATCCATGCATGCATGCATCGCACACCTGCAGCAGGGACTTGACACTGGGCTGGAAGACCATGTTGGTGTTGAGCAGGAAAGAGCGGAGCAAGGGCTGGGGGTGACAGGCCAGCTGGGCCACCAGCCCTGTCAGCAGGAAGTTGACATAGACGGAGTTCTGCAGCATGTTCTCGAGTTTGGCAAAGAGCACAGCCATGAAGGGGCCTGGGGGAGGGGTGGGCACAAGGATACAAGGCCTGAACACATTGCACATTGTACACATTCCTCCCAAAACCAAGAGACCCCCACACTATATGAAAATTATTGGGTATGATTAAATATACCATGACTACCAATTCTGGAAGAAATAAGATGGCAGACACCATATGGACCCATAAGAGTCCATATGCCAGCTTTACTCACACTCCAGCTGAACAGCCAGATCTTAGGCTCTGGAGTCACAAAGATCTGGTTTCAAATTTCAGTTTAACTCTTTACTAGTTATGTAAATCAAACCTCTCCAAGCTTTAGTTTCCTTCTCAGTTAAAATAAAAAAATATACCTACCTCATAAGGTGATGAAGATCATCAAAGTGATATCAATATAAAGCATTTAGCCTAAGATCTAATGAATTTTAAGTGTTCAATTATAATCATAAGCTACATGTTTCTCACTTTTTAAGAAAACTTCACCCAGAGGCACAACAGAAGAACAAACAGGCAGAGAAAGTGATTAAAACCAAAAAGAAGAATTAGGTTTCACATAAGACATAGGATAACACTAAATCTAGTTAGAAAGAAGCAAGAAAGGTTACAAAGAAAGTGACTATGTGAGCAAATTTTAAAAGGAGAAATCTTTGGGGAGAAAGCAGAGAAAGACATCATTTTGTCTTTCAGAAGCTGAGAACCAAGACGGTGGAATGGTATATACCAGCAGTTCTCAACTGATGGGTTGTGACCCACAGGAACTGTATTAAAGGGCCACGGCATTAGGAAGATTGAGAACCACTGGTATATACAGTAAATGCATTGCTTAGTTCAAGGGTAAAGAAAACTGACTCAGGAGAGACTCTTTGATGGAAGAGAAGATAATAGAAGGGATTAATTAACATACTCTACTGGGACAACTGGCCTCATCTAAGCCAGATCACCAACACTAGGACTATAGAACGATCACAGTCCTGATCAAGAGAAAGGGAATGTATCTAAGAACTGAACTACAGATTGAGACAAGAGAATGATGAAGGGCAGGAAACAGTGAATCCTGAAAATGATCCTAAACATCTTCCACTCCAGGTGCACATGACTAGTATTTGCTTCAAAACAATTCTACCTTAACAAGGTTCTAAGATTCTCCCTAATTTACTCCTTCTACTTCCCCTCATTTCCTGGTTCTTGC